CCCTAAATACCCACTACTAAGGGCCATAAGGGCTCTATTAAATGGCCCTTGCGGGGTCCTGGTAGAGACCCTCATCCGAGTCACTGTGCTGCCGGGGGCAAGGACGCCACCGTGGCGGGTGGTTGGCGTTGGCCTGGCAAGGGCTTGGGGGTTTTGTTTAGGGTTTAGGGTTTAGGATTTAGGGTTTAGGGTTTAGGGTTTAGGGGTTTAGGGCTTAGGGTTTAGGGTTTAGGGTTTAGGGTATATTTTGGTGGCCTTATGATAAGGATCCTCCTATTTTGGGTACTATCTCGTGATCCCCTTCTTTTGGAAACCCCCCAATTTTTTTTTAACCTGAACGAACAGCCCTCAAACGCTGATGTGCTAAAGCCACGCTCTCGAGCTCCGCATGCTTATGGTTCAGGGCTTAGGTTTGGGCTTAGGGCTTAGGGTTCCTTTTTTATGATTCAGGGTTTAGGTTTACGGTGTGCACTCGAAGCCCCAACGCACACCTGGACCTACCCAAGGCACCGTAAACTTAAATAGAGCCCTCATGGCCCCTAGCCTCACCAGCGTGAGGTAGAGGGTGCAGGTAAATCCTAAAACATTGCAAACCTTACGAAATTCAACCCCCATACAAGAACACCACAAGATACCCGACGAAAACACCACCCATTCATGTGCACGACGGGCCCGACAGGCCCTAGAAGACACTCCATGCCTGCAGGGGGCCGAGGCAATCTTTGGCCGCGGCGCAGAGCAGGAGATGGATCCATTGCAGACGCTACTTGAAGGTTCATGGGTAGTTCTCTAAACTAGGGTCCTTTTCCCAACATAGTACGGCACCCTTCTCAAAACGACCCAAAAAGGGACCCTAATTTAGAGAACTACCCTCATGGCTACCCAGATACATTCATGCCCCTTAAATCACGGTAAACCCTAAACCCTAAACCCTAAACCCTAAACCCTAAACGGTAGGGATTATGGGATTCTCTGGTCTCTGGGTACACCGTCAGGCAATGCAGACTTTGAGCTCAAATCCTTGGGCACCTGACCGGCGTAGAGAGCAATCCATCTACTTGTCGGGATATTTACTTGCCTTTACGATGTCATGCATTTTGGTTTAGGGTTTAGGGTTTAGGGTTTAGGGTTTAGGGTTTAGGGTTGCAATGCTTGTTTTCGTCTACGCACTCTTTCTGTTTGCATATGCAGAACGGTACCACCTGATGTCAGCTTGCATGTTTTGGGGCGATCCGCATTCACCCCTAAAGACTCCTTTATAACCCTAAGGGTCCATGAACCCAAATAGTAGTATAAACTTTGGCCCCAAAGTACCTATATAGGGACTACATTAAGGCCAACGTATACACTATTTGGGTACATGGACCCTTAGGGCTTTATAAGAGGTTTGTCGTAAGGAGTTTCGGCTTCCGCACTTTATACGGTTCAAGCTTCTGGGGTCTTCGAATCTAATTGAGGAGGTTTCGAGAAAAGGCTTATGGCCTATGGGTAGTTCTCAAATCTCCCTTGTTAGGTCAGAGAAATAATGCGGATCCCTTATACAAAGGACCAAAAAAAGTCCCAAATTTAGAGAACTACCCTTATGACAGGGCTTTTAGGCTTAAGTACCCCTAAACCAAAAAAACCCTAAAGCGTGAACCCTATAACAGGGCTTGCGGACCTAAGCTGAAGACTCGCCGGCGAAGGAGGGCTGAGCTTCAGGCGTGATTCTCGTTAGAAGCTTACCCACGGTTTAGGGTTTAGGGTTTAGGGTTTGGGGTTCATGTTTTGAATCCTATAAAGTAATCCCAAAAAGGAACTACTATGGGGCCTATGGGTAGGTTGAAGTGCCATCTAGCAGTACACGGAAATCATCTAATTTCCAGCATGTGCATGTATCAAGTAAAATAGGGTTTTGAGGTATATTCTGCTAAAATTATAATAAGGAACCCCCGAGGCAGCATGGGCAATTAGTTAGGCCCCTGTATCAATCCTGACTTTTCCGGTGCAAACGAGCTGAGCATCGTTTGATGCTCTCCGCAGCCTCACGCTGCGGTTTCCTCCTCGTCCTTCCATGTGGCCGTTGTGGGCGTTACGTCATTGGACTGGTCTGTAGTCGGGCGTTAATGTGTCAATCCAGTGCCGAAATCGACAAGGCCAAACAGAGGTAGCCCAAAAAAGGTTAACCTTTTCGATATAGTAGGATTATATGTACCCCGAAAGGTTACAGGTTACCTACTCAGCCCCCAAGTAATGTCATGTAGGAACCTGAGTAGGACACCCTGCTTCTTCGACCTCGGCTCTTCGTGACTTAGTGGTCTGAACACTACCCATAGGCCCCATAGTAGTTCCTTTTTGGGGTTTGTATTTAGGATCCTATTAGGTAATCCCCAAAAGGAACTACTATGGGCCTATGGGTAGTTTTTGGGAGGTTGAAACAAGGGTATGTTAAACCATGTTCCTACATCACCTGCAATGTCCGCCTCCATTCCGACGTCGTGGTGAGAAAGCTGCCTCAGACGCCATGCACAGGACCGCAGCTGGACGTAGCAAAATTGAACTTCCTCAAAAGCCCCTACACTACAGGTCAATTCCTTCCATGTGAGTAGTTCTCTAAATTAAAGTCCCCTTTTGGGGTCCTTGTTTTTAGGGTGCCGTACTTTATTTGGGACCTAAAATTACCCTAAACCCTAAACCCTAAACCCTAAACCCTTTAAAAGGGACCCCAGTTTAGAGAACTACCCAAGCGAACGATGCAGCTTTCGTCCATCGGCTTTTTAGGGTTTAGGGTTTAGGGTTTAGGGTTTTCTTCGCGCATGGTCCAGCTCTGAGGCTGCGACTCAAGCTGCGCATCGAAGTCCTCCGCACTGATCCAGCGGTTTGGACTTTACAAGATATTACTTGTAGAGTCTACCCTTTTGGGGATTAGGGTTTTAGGGTTTAGGGCTTTAGGGGTTTGGGGTTTAGGGTTTAGGGTCTACCCATAGGCCCTAAAGTAGTTCCTTTTTGGGGTTCATATTTAGAATCCTATAAGGTAATCCCAAGAGGAACTACTATGGGGCCTATGGGTAGAGGCTAGGTTCAGGAGAGTAGCGTTCAGACATGTGTTCACCCCGCTCGATGGTCGATGACAAGCGCAAAAACTGGCCTGCAATCGCATGGCCAAGTCGCGGATGACGCCGCGCAGTTGCTGCCGGCAGCGCCGTTCCTCCAAGGCACCCCAAACTCCGAAACCCTAAACCTTCTTTAGTGCCAGGACTCCCCAAGGGCCCTTTAATGGAGCCCTTATGGCTCTTAATAGTGGGTATTTAGGGTCTATTAGAAGGTAGTTGGGGGTCTAGGTGGGCTTAATACCTTTGGAAGCCACAATCTACTGTTTCATGGGCTGGGCCATAGGGTTATACGCTAAAAGTGGCCCCTTTCTAGCCTTTGGGGCTACCGATGCCTTAACATAGACCCAATGTAGTACGATCCTTCGTTGAGAACCTTTCTTGGAGGAAGTGGTTTAAACAGTGTGATTTGGGGGTGTTGCTTTCTTTGGGCGTGGTTCGCCCTAAACCCCTTACAACAATAATCTCAGGAATCCATATTGACTTTATAAAAAAACCAATACATCGTGTAACGACAGTATAACAAACTATTGAAGGGTCTACCTAGAGACCCCCCCAACTACCCTCCAATAGACCCTAAATACCCACAAATACGAGCCATAAACCCTAAACCCTAAACCCTAAACCAGCAGGAGCCGCCTTTAAGGCCCTAAGCCCTATAAACCCTAAACACCCAAAAAAACCTTAAACCCTAATACAGAGGGGTTTAGGGTTTACGCCATGCGGGCTCCATTAAAGGGCCCTTGGGGGGTGTCCTGGTAAGACGAGTCCATGAGTCTCTCTTGGACCCAAACCCACTGCCCTACAACCCTAATAAATCGCCAACTAGGGTTTAGTGTTTAGGGTTTAGGGTTTGGGGTTTAGGGTTTAGGGTTTAGGAAACAAAACACCCTCCAAGCCCTGGAGCTCTAAGCACCTATTATAGTAATGGAGTCCTTACAGTTCACTGTGATGGAACCCTGAAATGGACCTGCACTGTAGCCCTCAAGCCCTGAAGCCGTACAGCCCTGAACCCCTTATAATGACGTCCTTGAAAAACTCGCAAGCACACTTATACCTCCTTTTCGAGGAAACCCTCTTCCTTTTGCAGGAAACCCTGCGCAAATTCCAAGAATCCTTCTTCCTCGTTTTGACCCTAAACCTTAAACCCTAAAGCTTAAACCCTAAAGCCTAAACCCAAAACCCAAACCTTTGAACCCTAAACCCTTAAACCCTAAACCCTAACCCCAAACCTTTAAACCCCAAACCTTTAAACCCTAAAACCTTAAACCCTAAACCCCCAAGAGGAAGCCTGACAGAAGCACCTCTAAGTTGTCCTTGAAGCCCTTTGAAAATTATTTACTATTATGGTTCTCTACAGAATAGTAAGGGTAATTAAAAAAAGATCCCAAAAGTCAACCCATGGGCCCCTAGTATGGGCCCTTAACCCTGGGACCATAATATACCTACTATATACCCTATATATACCTTAAGGGACACTAGACTCCCCTAAGGGCAATAGTAAGGGAAATTAAAAAAGATCCCAAAAGACAGCCCAGACTAAACCCTAAACCCTAAACCTTTAAACCCTAAATCCTTAAACCCTAAACCCTAAACCCTAAACCCTTAAACCCTAAACCCTAAACCCCAAATCTTTAGACCCTAAAGAACCCCAAAAGAGAGAAAGCCTGACAGAAGCACCTGCTTCAGCTCCGAAGCCGCTGACCGCAGGGCTTGGTTTGCCTCCAGGAGCTGCTCCTCGCAATCCTGAGAAAGGTCTACCCATAGGCCCCATAGTAGTTCCTTTTTGGGATTTAGGGTTTAGGGTTTAGCCTGAGAATTTTGGGATTTAGGGTTTTAGGGTTTAGGGTTTTGGGTTCCTTTGGGGGTTTAGGGTTTAGGGAGAAAGGTCCGAGGGTTTTAGGCTTTTGGGGTTTAGGGTTTTGGGTTTACTAATTAGGGCTTTAGGGGTTGAGGCTCGCAATCCTGAGAATTTAGGGTTTTAGGGTTTTAGGGTTTAGGGTTTTGGGGGTTTAGGGTTTTGGTTTTGGGGTTTAGGGTTTAGGGTTCAGGGTTTAGGGTTTAGGGTTTTGGGTTTACTAATTAGGGTTTTTGGGGTTGAGGGTTTAGGGTTTAGTAAAAAGGTCTACCCGTAGGCTCCATAGTAGTTCCAATTTGGGATTACCCAATAGGATCTGAACCCCAAAGTTTTAGGGTTTTAGGGTTTAGGGTTTTAGGGGTTTTGCGGTTCAGGGTAGTTTTTGGGGTTTGCGGGTTTAGGGTGTAGGTTTTCAGGACCCGCCAAGGGCCCTTTAATGGAGCCCTAAACCCTAAACCCTAAACCCTTATGGCACCTAATAGTGGGTATTTAAAGTCTATTGGAGGGGAGTTACGCGGGTCTGGGAAGGTCGAGGGTTCAGGGTTTTAGGGTTTTTGGGTTTAGGTTTTGGGGTTTAGGGTTTTGGGGTTTTGGGTTTGGGGTTTTAGGGTATTGGGGTTTAGGGTTTAGCTGTTTAGGGTTTTGGGGTTCAAGCTTTTAGGGTGCACGGTTTTAGGGTTTACGGTTTAGGGTTTTGGGGTTTAGGGCTTGGGATTTTAAGTTTTAGGGTTTAGGGGGTTTTGGAGTTTAGGGTTTAGGGTTGTAGTATTGCTGCGCACATAATGGAGCACGATGCAGGATGTGAAGAGCCTGATTGGTTCATAGTTGCCATGACCGCGATGACAAGCAGGACAAGGCGGGATTCCTACAACAGCATGCCCAAAGGCTCCATGTACCTTTATAGTAGATACTTTTGCCTGAAAGGGGTCTCTATATATAGGTACTTTATGTAAGGCTAAAGTATCTACTATATGGGTACATGGAGCCTTCGGGATGGTAGAGATGGAGAACGTATGGGGGCGTCAAGACTTCGTGCATGATGAGATGGGGGTTTAGGGTGTAGAGTTTAGGGTTTAGGGTTTAGGGTTTAGGGCTTGATTTGGGTGTGTTTCAAGTTGGCACAAGCTGAAAAGCATGCTGCCAGGCTTGTGGCGGTGGGGTCAATTCGGCATGACAGCTATAAGGTCCGGCAAGCTGCAGCACCAGGTTATGTAGGTACCTTTGCGTTTGCTTACTTGAGCATCCGCGAGGCTCAAAGATTCCAAATTCTACATTTTTGCCCTCCATCACATGTCCAAACTTTAGATCTGGAAACTCTGTGTGTGTGTGTTACGCATGCTATGTAGGTCCCACACAGTACATGCGAAACATCTCGTCACTCCAGACCGACTGCACTTCCTACAAACATACACGGTGCTTTCGCCACTGCACGCACTGAACTATGCCTTCCAAACCCAGAGACTCCACAACCCCTTAGACTACAGAACACACCTCACATCACAGTAATGACTTTTTGTTTATCTGGCGCGTGTGTTTCATTTAACTCATGCGCATTCCTTGATTGCCTGTAGTTTCCATAGTAGTTCCTTGTCTAGGTTTAACCATTTATGTATATATATATATATATATATTTATTTACATATATATCCAGGATCCTATATGTTTACCCCAAACAGGAACCACAATGGAGGCTATACCCTAAACCCTAAAACCCTAAAGCCCTAAACCCTAAGCCCTAAACCCTAAAACCCTAAACCCTGAAACCCTAAACCCTAAAAGCCCTAAACCTGAAACCCTAAACCCCGAGCCCTAAACCCTAAAACCTAAAACCCTAAACCCTTTCAACGGAATCTTCGGGAACGGGAAGTCCGAGGAAGTCAAGCCGAGGGGCTTTTTGCGCCTGGTTCACAGAGAGCCAGACCTTTCAAGGTTAGAAGTATGGGCCCCTAACATGGACCCTTAACTTAGGCCTTTCTAGGGACCCTTATGGGTACGTATAGGGAATCTCGTAGCTGTATCTGGGTGGTTGTCAAAATTATGGTCCCTTTTGGGGTCCTTATTACAATACGGCACCTGTTATTTAAGGTACCCCAAAAGGGACCCTAATTTTGACAACTACCCATATGGATCCCAGGGTTAAGGGCCCATACTAGGGGCCCATGGGTTCACAGAGAGCCAGACCTGGAGACGGGACACCGTTGGGTTTAGGGATTCGGGTTTCAGGGCTGAGGGCTTTAGGGCTTTAGGGCTTTAGGGCTTTAGGGCTTTAGGGCTTTAGGGCTTCAGGGCTTCAGGGTTTTAGGGTTTTAGGGTTTAGGGTTTAGGGATTCGGGTTTCAGGGCTGAGGGCTTTAGGGCTTCAGGGTTTTAATTTATTAGGGTTTTAGGGTTTTAGGGTTTAGGGTTTAGGGTTTAGGGTTTTAGGGTTGTAGGGTTTAGGGTTTCAGGGTTTAGGGTTTAGGGTTCAGGGTTTAGGGTTTCGATTCCGGAAATGCCGTTACATAGCCTTACCTGTGGCCCAAATAACCTACCTACCTTTTTTAAGGAACAGTATACAGAAACCATGATAGGGAACCCCAGTTACTGAAACAGTGGGTTGCTAGATTGCATATGAGATGGCTGGTAGCCTACTATTTAAGTAACTGGAGCCCCAGGGTGGAATAACACAAGGGGCTTGTTCAGGTATATTCGGGCCCTAACATTTCATGGAATTGGATCTACTTGGGTTTACCGTTTTCGATATCCCGAAACCACAGTTACTGTACGTGGGACGGACCGAAGACGCAAGGCATTCCGGCTTGTTCGTGTTTGTTACAATTATACTACGTCGAGTTTAGGGTTTAGGGGCCTTATTAAGAGATCCCGAGTAGCAGGAATTTGTAATTAAGGCGCCCCAGAAGGTACGTCATCTTAACAATATCTGAACCCTAAGGGTCCATGCACCCAAATAGTATATACATTGGCCTTATTGTAGTCCCTATATAGGTACTTTTAGGCCCATGTATATGCTATATGAGTACCTGGACCCTTAGGGGAATAGCAAGCCCGACCAAAACCAAACCTGCGCAGAGTCCAGGTTCAAGGTTGCAGGCTTGGGATTTGGATGGATAAGCTATAGTCCTTACAGTACACTGGGCATCTACACTTAGGGCCCTACGAGGGTTTAGGCTTTGGGTTTTAATTTGGGGTTTAATTATTAGGGTTGAGGGTTCAAGCTTTATAGCTCCTGCTGAGGGAGGTTCTTGCAAGTTCGTGCTCGAACTTCCTAGAAACGGGACTTAACAATTTTAAATAAGGAATCTCCAGAATAGTATTGGTAAATATTTAGGCCCCAATAATAAACCCTAGACCCAATAGAGGTTCGGGCACCGAACCCCAGATCTCTCGCTGTCTGAGTGACCGGGGTCCTTCCCAGCATCGAAGGGCTGTCGAGCTAAGAAATGCAGGATAGCGGTCGGAAGACGGGTACTGAAAAGCCCATGTGTAGTCCTATTATCATCTATAAAAACTACCCATAGGCCCCATAGTAGTTCCTTTTGGGGTTCATATTTGGGATCCTATAAGGTAATCCCAGAAAGGAACTACTATGGAGCCTATGGGTAAAGACTCTCTATATATATATATAACCTCTCATCGTCTACATTTTCTGTACCCGTGGTCTAGTACCCTGCATAAAAGCTCGTGCCTGAAGCCCTTCGCACAGCTGCGGAAGAGGCTGCATGGGCCTGGCGAGTTGGGCTGAGGGGACATAACAAGCATGTGGTTTCAGGGTTCAGGGTTTTCGTTTAAGGGTTTAGGGCTTAAGGGCTCAGTTTTTATTTTATAAGGGTTTAGGGTTTAAGTTTTTTTAGGGGTTTAGGGTTTATGGTTTAAGGGTTCAGGCTTTGTTTTTAAAGGGTTTAGGGTTTAAGGGTTCAGGGTTTGGGGGTTTAGGGTGACAATTTGTAACTCCCCATAGACTCCATAATAGTTCCTTTTGGGATTACCTTATAGGATCCCAAATAATTAAGAACCACAAAAAGGAACTACTTAAGGCGCCTGTGGGTACAGGATATCTCCTTTCAAGGTACCTGAGTTAACCCAAACAGTGCCGGCTTCCGAAGTCCCCGACAACCTGCAAAGCCTCTATAAAGCCCGTAATAGAGAAGTAGACCAGCGGAATCAAGCCCCTTCAACAAAGAAACCCTAATACAACCAGTGCCAACGCACACCCTCAAATTCATAGGGTCTATTGCATGCAGTGACACTGGTTGCCTTTGGGCTTCTTTCTTGAAGCGCTATGCACCCTAAACCTCCCTAAACCCCCTAAAGCCCCAAACCTCCAACCCCACACCCAAGTGCCTCTTCTGAGCGCTTTCTGCTGCTGCTGCTCGCGCAGACAGAGCCTGCAAGGGTGAGATTTAGGGTTTACGGTTTAGGGTCTAGGGTAAACCCAAAGGCTCCATGTACCCATATAGTAGATACTTAGGCCTTAAAGCGGTCCCTATATAGGTACTTTAAGGCCTAAGTATGTACTATATGGGTACATGGAGCCGTATAGGGTATTTTTTCAAGACTGAATGACCTTAATCTTGCAGGTGTGCATGTTGTTGCTTGTGCACAGCCGGGTTTGGATGTTCTGTTTAAATGTAAATTCTGTAGGGTTGCAAAAGCTCTTCTCGAAAAAGACAGAGTGTTCTAGGGTGATTCGTTTGATATTGTATTCGCGGAGCGACGCGAAGGCAATTGCTGGGACCTTTCACACTTGCAAGAGGGTCTAGGAGTCTAGGGGTGGGGGATAGGGGACTTTCTAATTCGAGTCAGGTGTTTGTGGAATAATCCCTAAACCCTAAACCCTAAACCCTAAACCCTAAATCGTCACACTTACAACTATACAGGGAGGAAACTCTTCAGATCCCTAAAGTACCCCCGGGGATAAAGTCACGGATTCACACTGAGCAGGGTCAGCAAACCTCCTGCGTCTAGCGGAACGCCTCTGTGGCGTATCTCAGCTGATCATCCAGGATCCGCGCCTCGCATGCTCTTTCGCTGCATGTCTGGCATGAGAGTTCAGGGCTTGTGGAGTAAGAAACTATAAGGGTTTGGGGTTTAGGGCTTAGAGTTCAGGGCTTGTGAAGTCAAGGTCCAAAAACCACTCAGAGCATGGATTTCGAGATCTAAAACCTTACTAGTTGGGTACTCGGACCCTCTGGGTAAGCGTTTCGGGTTTATAGGGCTTAGAGATCAGGGCTTGTGGAGGTTGGCTGCATCGGGCTGTGGCCTTCGACATGCAACTTTTGGGAGAAGTTGACGGAAACTATATGTGGGGATTTTAGGGTACATAGGGCTTCTATAAGGCTTCTATATGGTATATAGACCTTCTATAAGGCTCCTATAAGGGTCACTACCCACCTGAAAATGTCCTAGAAGAAGGGCTGCCCAAGATATCGCCCAGTAAGCTCCACGCAACCCCAAACCCTTAACCCCATGCCCTAAACCCTAAACCCCAGACCCTAAAACCCAAACCCTAAACCCTAAACCTTTAAACCCTAAACCTTTAAACCCTACACCCTAAACCCTAAACCCAAAACCCCTAAACCCTAAACCTTTAAACCCTAAACCCAAACCCTGAATCCTAAACCTTAAACCCCGAACCCCAAACCCCTAAACCCTAAACCTTTAAACCCTAAACCCTGAATCCTAAACCTTAAGCCCCAAACCCCAAACCCCTAAACCCTAAGCCCAGTGCCACAGTGCGAACAGGGGCCTTGTCTTGCCCCATGCGGATCTCCTCCTGTAGTGCCTGGCACGCATGAAACGGATGACAAGATCATCACCTTGGGTGATAGGGTTTAGGGTTTAGGGGTTTAGGGTTTAGGGTTCAGGGTTTAGGGTTTAGGGTTTACGGATAGGGTTAGGGCTTAGGGTTTACTCATCGGCTCCACGGTAGTGCCTTTTTGGGATTACCTTATAGGATCCCAAAAATGGACCACAAAAAGGAACTACTATGGAGCCTATGGGTACGTGTATGGTTGAGCAACATGGGCATCACACAAGGCCTAAACTGAATATGCCATACACAAGTCAAGCCCTAACTTCTAGACCCAAAGAAAGCCCGCAGGTTCATTGGCAACCATTTGGCATAGACTTTGGCAGTATACTAAACTTTATGATCCACTTTGTGGAACCTTACGGATTACCATCTCAAAAGCCCATAATTACACCATACTCAACCCAAAATGCTCAAGGTTTAGGGCTTACCTGTGACCCAACCCCTACAAAATAGTAGGTTATAACCCCTTAATTAGAAGATAGAACCCATCAAACGGTAGGTTTTTGAATCCCCAGGTAGGGACCCTAAACCTCAAACCCCAAACCCTAAACGCCAGGCTTGGGTTTCTGCGCCCTGCAGCCTCGCGCTGGCGCTGGCTCTCTGCCGCGCGCATCGCTGCAGAGGCATCGCGAGCCTCAGGTCCCGGATTCTGTGAGTGAAATTACTGGTTCCACGGCTTAGGGCTTAAGGGTTTAGGGTTTAGGGTCCCTGTTGGGGCTATATTGAAAACGATCATTTTTAATCCTTAGTGGGTTTGATTATAACAGAAATGTAAAAATTGTAGCCAACAAGGACCCAGATTAAGGCTTTAAGGTCTATACCGTACTGTTTATAGGGCTTGTAAAGCTCGAACTAGGGTTTGAAGTACCAATTTAAATGGGATTTAGGGTTTAGGGTTCATAAAGCTCTAAGTAGGGTTCATAAAGCTCTAACTAGGATTCAAATACTAATCTAAATCAGGTTAGGGTTGACCTCCAAAAAGGTAAATGTACCAGTTTACTGGGGTTATATCCCTTATTTAAAAGTACATTGCTTGCTCTAGATCGAGTTTTCCAAAACGGGAACTACTATGGAGCCTATGGGTAAAGTGTGAAGAGATTCTGGGGAAGCCTGCATACACCATGTTTAGGGTTATAGGGTTTAGGGTTTCGGGTTTAGGGTTTAGGGTTTAGGGTTTAGGGTTTAGGGTGTATATATATATATATATAGCCCAGCAAGCAACTATAGGTGTGTCACACACATTTAAGGGCAGCTACTGCTAATTCCAGGATCTTGTGCTTAGGGCTTTCAACTATTTTGCGCGATTTGGGATTCCCTGAGTCCTGAAAACCCAAACCCTAAAACTCCTAAAACCCTAAACCCTAAACCCTAGAACCCTAAACCCTAAACCCCAAACCTCTAAACCCTAAACCCTACTAAATCCCTAAACCCTACTAAACCCCTAAACCCTAAACCCTAAACCCCCAAACCCTGTAAGGCTCCGGCAAGAGCAGACTTGGAAGACTCTAACTCCGACCTTGGTGGCTCTGGGCTGCTTTGAAAAGCTCCTGCGAATTTACTGGTTTAGGGTTGAAGGGTTTAGGGGTTTGGGG